CACACGAAACAAATCCGCTAGCTGGCTGGGGAAAAATAAAGAGAAAATCAAAAAAAAAAATCAGAAAAGGAAAGAAAAACGAAGTTTGGGCAGTGAAAAACCCCCCCCAAACACGTGTGTGTTTTTTTTTTTGTGTGAGCCGGGAGATCCTTAAAGTCAGCAAAATGAAATTTACATGAGGCTCAGGCCCAAAAGCCTGGAGCCGCATCTCATTGTTATGCCAAGACATTGTCGTCATCAAATTATGGGCATGTAAAAATAGTTGCCATGCTCGGCCATATTGTTCGGCATTATGTAAATCTCTTGCCAAGCCACCGCCCCCCCGTCCATTTCCTATAAACACGCCTTTAATTGCAGGGCGGCAAAAGGAGATGGAGTGCGGTGTCTTTATGACCGACATTACACGAGTGTTAACGATGACAATGAGCGGACAGGATTCGAGGTCCTGCCACCTACCACACCACGTGGGTTCTTCGGAACCTGAGTCCCGAGTCCTGGGTCCCGGATCCCAAGATCTGGAGTTCCCGAACTCATTATAATTCGTCTGGTGTTTTGCTATTTTTATAGACACTTGCCACTCCGTTGGGACTCCCCGAGCAGCGAGCACCCCGGCTGAGGCACTTCATAAATAATCAGATTTCTGGGCAGGCAGCAGATGAATCCGAGCCAGCGTTTATTGAACCCAGTCCAAACTCTTGACATTTGCGCCGCCTTAAAGGAGAATTTCCGTACGCCGGGGCCTGTCATCGCCAGTTTTGTGTATATTCATATCCGAAAATGAAAATTGTACGCTGCTTATTCGGCGCTAAGCCAGACAGATTCTGGCAAATCCATGGGTAGTTTCCAATTGCCTGCCATTTCAATTTATTCTCTTGTTTTTCCCCAGCTCCCAACTCGTCTCCCAGACTTGACATAAGGCGGCATTTTTTGTTTGGCTCGGCACTCGACTCTTTAAATAGAACATGCTGTCAACAGGGGGATACAAACTGGGTTCTGAAAAGGGTTTGGTTACGGGGGACTTGAACTACAAGACAAATAGTTGATCTTATGCCCTATGAATATTTATTAGGGGAAATTAAGTTATTAACATGTTGAAACTAATAATGTGGAAACAAATTTTAAAAGTATAGATACCATAGTTGATTTTGGGCATTATGAATATTTATTAGATAAATTAAGTTATAAATATGTTTAAGCTAATAAAAAACGAACTTAAAAAGTGTGAGATATTTATAAACGTTAAATGCCATGAATAAATAATCTGCGCTATTCTGAATATTTATTTTTTTAGAACATTTTTTTTTTATTTAGAAACATTTTTTTTTAAATTAGCATATTAATAGCACTTTGGAAAAATACTTATTAAGTGAATTTAATGCCCTTAAACACTTTGCTATAATCTCCTTTTATAATTAAGTCTCTATTAAATTTTTAAAATACTTTGAATGCTCACCTTTTACATACCTTGTAGTAACTATACCTTAATCTTTTTTACCAAGCCATTTTATTTTGTATTTAGTTTTTATTTCATTCCTGAACACAGTTAATTGAGTGATATACTACTAAAGGTTAACCAACCTTGACTTCGTTTAATGGCAGCTTCAATTAGGTTAACTGATTCTGAAAACCCTCTCTGGTAATCTGCATCTCCAAAGAGCTCGACAACACCGAACCAAAGCCAGATACCGCATTGAAAAGGATTGCAGGAACATCTAGTGCACATCCGAATGTTTGGCAGGATCCTCCTCCTGTTGGCTCCTTTTGTTTGCCCCGTCTGTCTGCCGTTTTGCTGTTATTTTTGTCATTTTAAGTGCTTTGCCAAGTGCACACGAATCGCTGCAGGCGCAGCACGAATATTTCCCCGAAACACTTGTGGCAGATGTGTGTATGTGAGTTTTTGGCAAGGAGTGGAGTGGCCGGGGGGTGCTCATGGGTGGAGAATGAGGGGGTTTTGCGCCACAAGCCCGGAAGCAATAGAGAAAGGGGCGTAGAGGAAAAGGAGGTGTGCCGCGACCTACAGCAAACATTGGCCAAAAACACAAAACGCGGCGACCAACTTTTAGCCGCCTATGGCTGCACTGCGAAATCAGTTTTGGGTAGGCTCGAAAAAGCGAGGAATTTGGTAGAGGAAATACTCAAAAAAGCTTTGGCGGATTAGTGCAAAAAATAAAAAAAAAAATATAACCGAAAAACACACAAAACAACAGAGCTCGGTGCTCTTTTATTTGCTTAAATTTGTTTAGCAAGTTTCGCAGTTTTTCCGCGAAAAACTTTGAAGCGGTCTCGGTTTCGGAATGGCATGGAAAATACCAATGCCAATGATGAAGTTATTGATGGTGATGATGGAAAATCGCTTTCACAGCTGCTACTGCAACTGGCAGGGGTGAAATTCTGCCCGAGAAATTCCCTACAGCAATTCGTTCACCATCGACTTTTCCTTTGAGCATTTAGGTGGAAAGATTCCATTCGCGGCCAGGGGAGAATCACTCATTCGCAGCGTTGGCAGACGCAGATTTTTAGGTTCTTTTTTTTTTTTTTTGCTGTTTTGTTGGCTTTCTTGTTGGCGACAAACAATAAAATACAAATTTGCTACTTTACTTTACAGCAGCGCATAAAGAGGAACAACAAACGGAAAGCATTTTCCATGACCTCATGTGGTGAACCCCAGACGACTCACAGTCGGCATCCGGGGGAAAAATGAGAGGGGATTCGGGGGGGGCGGGATCTTTAAGTAGGTCGCAACAAAATAAAAAGTTTGTTTGCCAGAGCTCTCCGTTCGAGGATTCGCATAAAACATGGGTTCGGCGGCGGCCCACGAATGCCAGGATACCCTAGAAGGTCGCAGGATGAAGGGCGAGGCTGGATAATCCCGGGAATCGACTGAAAATTATGTGAAAATATAAACAAGATTAAAGAAGCTGCCGCTGCTGGTGTGAGCTGTGCGGAAAATCTTGTTCCTAAATTTATGGGAATGTGCGTAAATAAAAGAATAAGCAATATTCCCTTGTATTTTTTTAAATGGATAAAGAATTCGAGGCAACATTTTAAGAAGTGAAGGTTATAAAGATTTTCCTGCCAGAGAAAACACAGCCAACGGTGTGAAAATTCCCTTAAAAGAAATAAATCCTTTATAGGTGTATAAAACACCAACAATTAAAAAAACATTTTAATTTAATTTTCTTAGATACTAAAAAGTTCAGACACAATATTTTGTTACTTCCAGCAAAGTCTGTAAATTAATAATGGAAAACTCCCATGGAAGTGCAAACGTTTTGCCAAAAACTTATATTAAGTGCATGTCAAATGTTTTAGCCTGAAATCCCCCAAGGAAGCCATGCAAAAATTCTATTTCAACTTTATTGCCAACTTCAAACTCAATCCAATATCCCCAATTTCCCGGCTCTCAGCTGGGCATTTTCCCACCTCCCCCACTCCTCAACCCCGCCTTTTCGTCCAACAACACTCCACATCAAATTCCCTGTTGATTTGAATTTAAAAGTAATTTTTTTTGCAGCTTTTTTCCTTTTTTAGTTGGCATATTTGCAAATATTTGCTATCGTTGCTGTCGAGACAACATGGCGGATGCTTAATATTTCGTTTTGACTTTATTTGTAGCTTGTTGCATATTATTTTTCCTATTTCTCCCCCCATTTCTGGTCCGTTTATTGTTTTGCTGGGCACAAATTGAATTTGTCACTTTGGCTCTGCGGATTCGCTTAAATTGTCGCCGCGCAAAATGGCCAAGCTGCATGGGATATGCAAAATATTTGTGTGCACATATGCAGGGGGCGAATAAAAATGCCGAGCACTAATAAATTAAATGCAAATTGTGCGAGGCCCGCAGCTTAAAGCCAAAAACGGAATTTATTTGCTTAAATTGTGCGAGTTGCGGGCGGAAAGGATGAATGAAAGTGAATTGAATTGAAGTTACTTTGTGGTCGGCGGTCGGCGGGGGGAAGCAAAAAGTTGTGGCCAAAGTGGTTACAAATCAAATCAAAAGACCCGGCAAGATGAATGGCCACAGGGATGGGAATGGGGAAGCCCACCGAGTTATAAATTCATTTGGCCAACAAGGAGACGCAGCCAAACAGCTAGGAGGCAAGATCCTTACACAGGAAATATAAACGTTATTTACATTTGATAGAAGACGATATATATTAGCATTTTTAGAGTATCTTTTTTTTAATTATCAAACAATTTGATAAAATATAAATTAATTATTCTCGTAACAAATTGTATTGAAACCAAGTAAAAAACAAAGTCTAATATTATTAAACATGTTTAATTGATTAATTTTAAATGTTTATACTGTTTTAATAGTTTTCAATAATTGTGTTGATATACAGTTCTTTATGCAGGAACACAGAGAAAATAAAGTTGTTATATTCGCCAAAACATTTTAAAATGTTTAAGAAAATTTGTATGAACCGATTGATCTTATGAAATGTGTTCATCCTGTTTTTGCATCTAAGACCTTGGCTAGTTTTTTCTTTGTAGAGAGAACATACATTGTTCTTGAATTGAGAACATTCGTGCTTAAAATCCGTGTATGTACGTTTTGGTATTAATGTTCTCAATACGAGAACGATATGGTGAGAAGAGAAAAGTTAAATTGAGTTTATTTAACAACTTTTTGATTAGTATACACTACTGACAAGACACATAGTATATTTGTTGAGATATACAATGTAAATACCGCCAATTCAACTTGACTCTAGCAAAATGAAAACATACTCAACCTAAAAAACTCGTTCTATTTTAAGAACATTTTCTACTCAGATGAGGACGTCAGAATCTTCTCTCAGGAAATTTTGCCGTTACTTTTATTTATAAACCGAAATCAGGATAATCTATAAAACTATTTTTATTTATTATAACCCGTCTGCAAGATGTCTAGGTCCATATTATATACATAAAGTAACTATATTTTTTGAAGTGCATTTTATCCTATTCCTGTTTTCTTGCCGCCTGCTCACCCTGTTCCCTTTGTGTCTTTGCAGGACTTGCTGCGGCGGCAGCCTCCACTGGACAACCGGATGACTCCAGTGATGGGCCAACCTTGTCGACATTCCTGTCATCATCAACGTCGCCAGCAGCGGCATCCTCATCCTCATCGCCATCGCCATCCCCGTTCCCATTCCCACTACCAGCCAGTTTTTCATCGTTTGCGGTGGCGAAAGGGCCGCAAACGGAAGCCACGAATCACACTTTCAAGAGTTTAGCCTTCCTGGGCGCGTCCTTTGGCTCCGATCTCTTCGCCCAGAAGGACATGGAAGGGGAAAGGGATGGCGAAGGGGATCGGGAGGGGAATGGGGAAGCACAGGACGCGGACTCCTCGCAGTCGCTGCCAATTTTCGACTTTGGCATGCCGCGCAACATCACCGGACGCACTGGCCACACGGAGGCCATAATTAAATGCCGCGTGGACAGTCTCCATGATAAATCGGTGAGTCCCCCCGGAATCAGCCTCTCTGCTCCCCGGAGAAAAAAAGTATAACTGATGAAGATGCGTGCCAAGGACATCGAGTATATCATATGGATGTGCACTCGTTAATCAAATTTCTTTCTCCCTTTCTACCCCGAACTGCCCATCTGCTCAACAGGTATCCTGGATACGGAAACGTGATCTGCATATCCTGACCGTAGGCACCGCCACCTACACCACGGACAAGCGATTCCAGGTGCGTCCAACTGGGCTTGGGATTCGTGTATTCGTTTGCTAATTGAATGCGATGGTTAAGTCGAGGCCTCGGGCACAGTGGGTTAATGCCAAGTGATGGTGACTGAAGGGGGATTATCACGAAGCTTCTCAAGGTGTCTTAACCAATTAAATGTGACTCGCACAAAGGTTAATTTCCTTGCGACAAAGTTCGGAGGACTTTCTTATAAAACATATACATTTTATATAAGAAGAAGATGTATATAAAATGTATACATATTATAAAATACACCCAGGATCTTCTTAGTTATATATATACATTTTTTAAAATACACCTAGGATCTTCTTAGTTCTACATTTTTTAAGATATTTAGTACTTATATTTCTACAGTTTTAGGAAAATTTATATGATTTGCTCGCATTGCACTTAAGGCTAAATATTTATATGAATAAAAAAGACGTACAGATTGTTCTTTAATCATGGTTCAAAGCATTCGAACTTATTCGAGTGTAACAACCACCCTCGAAAGGTGAACTACCTGCAAATCTATACCAATAAACCAATTTAAATCCCCAGATCCAGCCACAGATTAGCTGCAAACATAACAAATCCCGATAAACTTTCCAACCGGTATCAGCCACAATGTAAAAGTTAACTCTGGGCTCTCGAGGGGAATTATGGTTATAAGGCCACTTTCATTATGCATGCATAAACGATATTTCAATGGCTAATCCCACTCATAACTCAGGGCAACTTCGCAACTACCTCTCATCCTCTATCTTTTTGTTATGCCCACTGTGCTGTAGTTGCAAACCGAACGACAAACAAACAAACAAACAAACATTCAATTGTATAATTGCTTAATTTCCATGGAAAAATAAAAAACCCGATTGAATGGAAATACAAATTTGCAGCCTGGCAAATTGTTGCCTTAAAAGCGAATAATTATTCCGTCGAGACTGACAGGACGAATTGAATTGAAAAACTGGCGAACGAATAATGAAAACTGAAATCCGTAAACTGTGTCCATTTATCCATCAGGTGACCGAATCGAAGGATTCCAGGGAGTGGACCCTCCATGTGAAATCCCCGCTGGCAAAGGACAGTGGCATCTACGAGTGTCAGGTGAACACGGAGCCCAAAATGTCGATGGCATTCCAGCTAAACATCATCGGTGAGTACTGGGATTGGGATCTCACTTCCACACATTTCATATTTCTAAGGGAAGAAATTTTAATTTCATGGCAATAATTATTGTATTTATTTTTCTTTGTACCGAGTGCTTACCTTGTCGCCGCTGGGTTTATTAAAAATGTTAATTTGATGTGAAGGGGCGCCAGTTTCGGTATCGTTCGGTTTCCACCGCCTCTAGGCATACATTTTTAATTTCGCATTTCGGCCCATAAATAAATAAACAAATAAAAACCGAGGTCGAGTCCTGCTCCTGGTTTTCTGGCCCCCAGGATCAGGATGGAAGCTTACATGTCGCCGGAGCCGCTGAGTTAATTAGCATGTCAACCCGGCGGGATTACGGGCACCGATTGGAAATGTATTCAGCGCTTTAATGAGCCATGCATAATGCGTGTGTCCGCATATAATTAGCTGGCAGTGTGTCACCCGTCCGGTTTCCTCTGTTCCATCGAAAACAATGTCTATTGTCTGCATTAGTGTCTCCGAAATCCAGGGGTAATGATTAATTGATGATGGTCTGATTACGGAATGGCATAATGGGTGGCAGGTCCTATAGGAGATTGGAATGGTGGCAAAAGACTTCTTAATAATATAGTTTACATTCCCCTTTTTGCCAGTGAAGGAACTAAAATACTATATATTATGTTATTAATGGTATAAGTTTTAATTAAAATATTTGTATTGTCTCAAATGTAGACTGTTTCAACTTCCTTTGTATACAAACCATACTTTCCTTTCAAGGGGGGCCCCTTTCATCTCTTGTTTTATGATAAATAGGGAAAATGTTTTCCCCTTCTTTCATTCTTAAAACACAATTACCTACACATAATGAAATTCCTTCGATCTGGTGATTGCCTCATTGTGAGGCCGTTAATTCGTAATCTCAGTCCGTTTAAAAAACAATCAATTTGCATATTGATTTTAATGGGATGCCAAGGAACTGCCGAGCTTAAGTCAGTGCCATTAAGATGGCAATTGTTTGGTCTTTAAATCACTGGCTCAATAAGGCGACAAGTGCTGTGGGGCTGGGTGGATAAGGGAGTTAACGGAGTAAAGGAGTAGTAAAGGACATCTCAGAGCCGAGCTGCTGACAAATACTGTCGGCGTTTGCCGTCAGCCACTTATGCAAATCAGTCGGCAATGCCTTTTTAAGTTTCCGATTATGCACTTGGGCGCAATGCATTTTCGTCGGTCTGTCACTGTTTTATTTTTCCCGGGTGCCAGGTCCCTTCACCGATTTCCTGCTGCTCTGACGCTTACAAACGAATTTCCGATTACATTTTCTTCATGGCCGTATGCATTTTAATTTACGTTAATGAAACAATTTCCCAAGGAGCATGACAGCAGTGGAGTGGACTCTGGACAGTGGACAGTGGACAGTGGACAGTGGTGACAGCCCGGCAAACTGGCTGCGTCCTTAATAACATTATCGGCATACGTGTCGTATGAGTGACTTTCGCAAGGCGCTTAACTCTTTGCTCCCCTGATTCCCTTTCCTTTTATTTTATACTTTTTGTACTTTTCTGCTCCTGTTTCTGTAGCTCCTTGCCTCGCTGTTGCGTTGCATTGCATTTAATTAATGTCATTATGTAAATTTATGCGTCCCACCCAAACGATTTTATTTTTCCCTCCACGTTTCACAGTTTTTCTCATTTGTTTTTTTTTTTTTTGCGTAAAAAAGATTTATGCCTGATATAAATTCTGCCCGGGCGGTACGTCCACCCCAGGGGTTTCGTAAAATATCCAAAAATAAATATGCATAAAGTATGCCCTAAGATGACAATTTAAAAGGTTGGTATTTATGCACGCATAATTTAAGAAAGAAATATTTACCACATTTCAACTGCAATTAGCAGGATAATTGATTGTTTAAGCCTTTGAAAACAAGAGAAAAATTCCGCATGGCGTGCAAATATTTTCCAGCCTTTTAACAGCAAGACATCAAGGATATATTTTTCAAAAGCAACATTTTGATGTACATTGTTTGGGTAAATTTACACTGATACATTTAATTAGTGATATTATACCAGGATGAAAATGTAAATGGATTGATATCGGTATACAAAGCTCATACCTACAAATTATAAAAAAATGCAGAAATCAATTATGTAAGACTATACAAAATGGTAAAACATTAACTACTGTTTTCACATTATGGACAAAGAACGCTACATTAAAAAGAAGAATTTGTATAGCATACTTTTCTGCGCGCTTTCATATCTCATCACGTTTTTTTAGAATTTAATATGGCTATAGCCTTGATTCCATTTCTATTTCCAGGCCCTTCTTAGTGGTAATTATAACCATTTGACCTTAGAGAAAACCACGTTTTGCGCAGCCCCTTCTTATATTTTTGTTGTTGTTGTTGCTGGCAGGTCGCATTGCATTTTATTTTCATGAAATATTTAAATTAAAAAACTTCATGGGCCGCCACACAAAATGCACGCAGAACTTTAGCGACAGCTGCTGAAAAATGAAGGAAAAATGAAAATCTGAAATGAAATGAAAAACAGTGGGTTGGGTAAAAATTGTTGCTGCAGCTGCCTGGTTCCGTCTCTTTCTGGCATTCGCCCCTCTCGCTCCCGCTGACGGGTGTTAATTGCCTTTAACGCAGTGACACTGCACAAACACTCTTGAAAAAGGGAGGCGTGGCCAAAAGGGGTTGCGGGGGGAGGGGGGTTTTGGCCAGGAGCAGATACAAATACATACGCACTTAATGGCGCAATGGGATTTTTTAACTCACACTTTGCACATATGCCACAGACGCAAACAAACAGACGGAAAAAGGCGAGAAACGTGGAATCGTGGAAGCGAGATCTCCAGCAGACGCTTTAACCCCTGAAACCCCAACCCCCCTTTATCCCCCCCCCCCCCCCCCCCCCCTTCGGGAAACCCCTGAGCATCCTGCGAACCATGTAATCATCATCATATGCACTTTTATGAGCTGCTCCACACAACGCCTGCGGATACAGTGGGTTACGAGAAAGATTTACTAAAAAAAACATATATTAAAAATACCAGAAATATCCTAACTCCTTAAAAACTAAAGTATACCCTTTCACAATACCCAGAACATTAAAGAAGATTTTAATATTTAATTATTTGAACCTATAGATATCCTATTTGATTTAATTAAAGAACTTATACAACTTATTTCAAGAATACCCCCACAAGTAATCTCTAACCTTACAACTTTTCATCTAAATACAAACCCACAGTGCCGCGCCAGGTTTTTATTTCATTTGGGCCACGCGTGTCTCCAGTTTTTGGGTATATTTTTTAATTATTATTATTTGCACAGTCCAATGCATAATAAATATTATTATTAACCCAGTTTCGCAGCAGCAGCAGCAGCGTGTGTGACTTTCCACATGGGTGTGTGTGCGGCACATACAAGTTTATTTACGTGTCTGGTGCGATTTTCCCACCAGATCCCACACCCTTTTCCAGACTTACTTAAATTTAGTGCAATTGAAAAGTTATTCCATAAAGTTTTATGATTAAAACTTTTTATGTGCATTCGGTTGCGAATTCGTTTTACGAGCGATTTCCCCAAATTGATTTCGGTTGCCCACCTCGTATGCATGTTTTCAATTCATTTGTGGGTGTTATATTTGTTATTCTTTTTGCAGAAATCTCTCCGGATGCCAAGGCGATTATCAGTGGTCCACCCGATCTGCACTTCAAGGCGGGCAGTGCCATAATCCTGAACTGCCTGGTGCAGCAGCCATCGGTTAAGGACATAGGACCGATATACTGGTACCGCGGTGAGCACATGATCACTCCCTTCGACGCCGACGATGGTCAGCCGGTTGTCCTAGTGAGCCGAAAGGATCAGCCCCAAAGAATCCCCGAGGATGCGTCCCTAAATGACATAATGAACGAGGTGGACCTGCAGAAGGAGTTCGCCACCCGCATCGCCATGGAATCGCAGCTGGGCGATACCCTCAAGTCCAGGTGGGTGTTCCACCGACCCCAATCCCCTAATTGAGTTGTTCTCAGTGCACTCCTTAATCCTCCGCAGGCTTCGCATCTCGAATGCCCAGACCACGGACACCGGCAACTACACGTGTCAGCCCACGACGGCCAGCAGCGCCAGTGTCCTGGTCCACGTGATTAATGGTGAGTCCAGGGATGAGTGAGCGAATGTGGCCTACACTGGGAATAAAATTAGGCCAGTCTTAAAAACAAAAAAAAAATATTAGTTTTCTCATTGCCTTTATAAGCTATGTAGATAAAATTAAATATATTTAATGGTTTCTGGTAAAAAAAATATTTAAAGATTAACTTTCTAATAAGCTCATTTATAAATATTTATTTAAATTAAAAAAATTGAAATATATAAAAATGAAACGATAAATGTGCATTAGGTCTATATTTCACTTAAATATTTCCGATATGGTATATAAGTTCATTACGGTTTTTAAACTTAAAGTATGGAAATATTTATCTACACAATTATACTATTAATTTAAGGTTTGTAACTTTCACTTTAAAACGAAATTTTAATTTTTTTTGAAAATGTGACTGACATTTTTTTTTTAGATTTTTTACCTTGATTTACATATTTTCACACCAAACCATTCCACTTCGATCAATTTTATTTTAGCGTTTTTAAAAACGTCTTTTCTATGATTTTTTCTAAAATTTATACGACTTGTTAAGTTTAAACTGCAAATATTTGTATACATATTTCTTGTCTATTGATCAGTTTATGGTATAGTCCTAAATCTAATAAATTAATAGAGGGCACATTAACTAGGGCATGTTTAAATGCAACCATTACAGCCAGTATTTTAAGATTGCGTTTATAATCCATAAATATAAAAATTTTAAAAGTTTTAGAATTTAAAAAAATATTTTTTTTGAGTGCATAGCCTGCATGTCTTTCGACTCAGGTGCTGGCCAGGTTGGCATAAGCCTATCTGTTACACTGTCAGCCAGAGGTTGCTGTCCCCGAGCCAAAGGCAGTGGCTTGCCTTGGAGAAGTTAACTCCCAAAAGCTAACTATCATTTAGCACAGCCCTTCTCTATTCGGGGCAAGAAAAGTGAATAATTTTATGGGCAGCAGTGTATCCAACACCATTCATTCACAGACACGGCCCAAAAACTAAAAGTTTAGCCTCCACTCCATCTACTCAGCCAACCATCCTTCCATCCTTCCGCAGACTGTTTGTTTGGGAGTCCTTTTGGACTGGCCTCCTTGGCGTATGAGTAATGCGGCTGGTGGCGCACAACTCACTGACTTGGCTTTGCATATTTTACACATAAATTAGACGGGAATTAAGACATTTTAAGCTGCGAAATGAGGGGCATAAACTTGACGCGTCTTTTGTCCGGCAATTTCCACTGTTTTTTATGAGCTTTTATGGCAGGACATTCGCAGCAAATTGAAGGCCCAGTCATTTCGCTCGTAGTCTTAGTTTTTATGCAGTATCAAATGTTAAGCGAAATGTCCAGCACTTAGGTTGTTAAGTTGTTTATTCAAATGAAATTGTTGTATAGGACAGGAATTTGCATTTTAAAGAGCCGCGCCGTCCGCCGCCCTTCCACCCCGTCCTCCGCTGCAAAACCGTAATAAATATGATTAAATGTCAGAAGTAAGTTGCAAAAAGGCACTTAATCATGCCCCACATGTGGCAAAAAGGACGCGAAATGGGGTGGCCATGGGTGCCCAGACAGCAGACAAGCCGTGGAAATGGAGCTACTGTGACTGAGACTGTCACGGCTTGCATAAATACAGATAATAAATCAAAGGCAATAAAATTTTAAGAAAAATGATAAGGGCAAAGTGCTGGTCTAGGCGGGGTGAAGGCGACCTGGGATATGCCATATAGGGAGTTTCAGAGAGTGCGTGATATCATAAATAACTCAAAACATAAAACAAAAGGCATTTGAAATCCAATAAGTATCCGCAAAGCTTAATTCGGAACCAAATTTACATAACAAATATTTTTAGAAATATTAAACAAGTACTAAAAAGCTACAAATTAAAATGGAATTTAATTATAAACGAAGAGTTATCTGCGCTCAAAGCCTTGAATTATTTTTACCAATTCCCACTCTTTTGGGGACAGATAAAAAATGGTTTGGCAGAAGTGGAAATCGAATTTCGCTACTTATTTATAGACCCCCAGATGCCCTTCCCTCACAGCGCATATTCCGCCCATTACTCATAGAACCCATTCCACGAACCGCTGGGTCCTTAAAAATCAGTGCGCGGCTTGTTGGGGGGGGGGGCCTGGCCATACGTATCCTTTGTGACGAGTCAAAACAAAGCATTGACAAATGATGCGCCTGGAATAACATTTGCTCGGGCGGGAAAGGCCGCAGAAATATTGCGTATACGCAGACACACATATGTCATTTATCTAGTCGGGACAAACAACCGTCCTGCCCACTGCTCCATTTACCATTTTCCCACTTCAAAGTCAGAGCCCTGGCTACATGGTGAAAAATTGGTCGAAAAATCAGTCATTCATAATATATTGCATCGGAAATAGGGAACCAATGAATAAATGAATATAAAGATTTACTGGAATAGTAACCATTGTGAATCAAAGTAAGGCTACTAGTATAAATGTTAATGTTATAGAAATATTCGGTTACTTAGAGTTTTTATAGTCATATGATATCCCTATAGCATTCCAGTATGTATTTTATTTTATTTTATTTATTTTATTTTTCATATAAATATGAATATACCACAAACTTTCTGTTAATAAACCTATTATATTACCCAGAAATAAATGAATAATTACGAGTATCAAGTACCTATTTCAGAATTCTAAGCAGAATAAGACAACTTATGGCTGCCAAACCTTTTTGTTCTCAGTGTAGGTCACAATTAAATTAAGTTATTTGCCCTGGCATAGCTAATGGGGCTGTGCCCTCGTCGAAATTTGAATACACATGTTCATTATGCCACTGTTTGTCTCCCCCAGATGAGAATCCCGCTGCGATGCAGAAGAGTGGGGCGTGTCCTTGCGCCCCCGGTCCGCTCCAGCTGTTCCTTCTGCCGGAGTTGCTGTTGTTGCGAGCGGTATTGGCTGCTGCTGCTGCTGCTGGCAAGTGAAACCGAAAGCTGTCGCCAGTATTATGATCATCATCATCATCATCATCGCCATGGTCGTCGTTGTTAGCACTCTAATTGCAGCAGAACGAGAAAATTATGTTCCATGACGTTGGCATTTTTGCTGTGTGCTGGCTGCCTGTTTTTTCTAGAATTCTGGAATGGAAAATGGGAAAAAGGAAAATGGAAAAGGCAAACACGAGAGTCGCTTTCCCTTTCAGGCGAATGTTTGTTATCCTTTTAATATTTACATTTCATTGTGCAAAATGAGACACTGAGCCGGGCAGGGGAATGCAAAATGCAGAATGTAAAATGCAGAGGAAGGACGAGGGACGAAGGACTCAAACACCAGCAAGGAAGGACGAAGGACGAAGGATGACACTCTCTGTAAATACCACAAAGATGCGGCAAAGCTTACAGATATACCTACATATACAACAGTGTGTATTTTATTTCATTACTGCGCTCCGCACAAAGGATCCGCACACACGCATCGTCTTTATAAACATTTCATGCTGTCTTAACAGAGAGCCAAGTTAACCGAAAATAAGGAAAATATGATAAGAAATGGGAGTCCCCCACACACAGTCACCCACAAAAGTACGCACATTACACCCCTCAGCCCAGTCCTCCTCTCTACCCCCAAAATTGTAATATATATATAAGAGAAATAACGAAAAAAACAAAAAACGTAAGAACAACTCTCATCTGATAAACTAAAAGCAAAAAAAACTTAATTATAAACACTAACTTGTATGGAATTTATTTATGGGCAAAATGAAATTTAGTCACGCGGCACTCGACGACGAAATGGAAATGAAAATTGAATAAAATAAATGTGAAATGCAATATGTGAAAGCGAAAAGCAAATTGCTATTGCGAAACTAAATCAATTGCGGCATGCTCGACTAAGTTTCGGGTTGCACATGCGAGTAAAACTATGGGTAGGCATGAATTTACTACACGTAAGCCAGTAAGCAGATTTTAGATAATTTATGTGATGACAAACCCAATGAATAAATCAATGGAATGAACTCTTTCAACAATAAACTGAAAACGAAACGAAACGACGAATGCGCTTTTCATTTCGTGCTGCGGCAAAACTTTTAATGTCTTTCTGAAATGCGGTGAGTACTTAGCAAATGCACAATTTCAGCTAGTTTTGCAACTCATTTAGTTGGCACAGATGGAAAAGTAGGTAAAAATCCCTCTGAGCAGAGGAAGCAAACGAACCACACACCCAAAACGAACCCAAATGCAAATGAAGCAATCAAAGAAAAAATCAAATGGCAAATAAATTTGTGTAAATGCATTTATTCATGCCATTAGCTGGGAAAAATAAATAAATTTCATCTAAATGCTTATCAGTACATTGATAATTCAAATGAAAATAAAGGACTTTATAGATTTTATCTAGCATTTTCATAACAAAAATTAATTGAAATGCTTTTTTATTCTCCTGTTAGTTTGATTAATTGATGGGAACTCGTATTTACATTTGTATTGTTGAGTATTATACTAAAAGTAGTGTAAATAAAGGGTGAGTGGCATGGCATACCTTATTTGATAGCTTTCCTTATATTCTGCCATGACTTTAAGAACAAAATCCTTCTAAAACCCGCACTTATTTCGGACGAATATTGCCAACCATTTGCGGCAGCCTCACCGACCATAATTGTCTCGAATTTCACAAATTATAATTGATATTTGCCGCTGCTCTGGCTGGGAAAAGAATAACGAAAATATTGTTATAACAAAACAGCTCGGCAGACCTCAAGATGGCGCCATAAAAACGCCATTACTGTCTCCGCCATGGAGCAACCCCATCCAATTCTCCTCGTTCCACACCGCTGACCCAATTAATGTGCCCATAGCCGCAAGTGTTTTTCATTAGTTGGAATCCAAGTGGAGGAGATCAGCATCAGCGTAATATTTAAATGAAACAATTACGGCCAGGACAGGCGGCACTTGTTGCTTCTTTATACCAAAACCCCCCTTATTATTCGCAGGCAATTTAATGTCCATTCGGTTGCAGGTTTTAATTTAAACAAAACAGCTAAGGACAATATAAAATCCAATCCGGTATATCAATCATACGCCGCATAGGCTTACAGAAACGTCTTCAGCAACGTGATATATGAGCCGGCTGTGCTGAGTATCTGGAATGGCAGGCAAAAACATAAACATTTATTATCATAATCAACGCATCGCATCGCATCGTATAGCATTCCATACAGATCCAAGAGCTGGCAGTGATGGCGTAAAAAACGGCACCGCAATTGTTTTTGCCCGCTGCGAACGCCGCAATATCATTAAAATCACTTTCCTAGTCCTCGCATCGCATTTGTACCACTCAATGTCGTACAGCACGTCCGCCACAGCAGCACTCTAAAAAAAAAAAAATGGTAGAAAATATACGGTGGCATGGGATATGGCTGGGAATCTGGTACTGAATCTGGGTTGGGAGGTGGATGTACCAAGGGTACTTCCCCTACACTTTGTTGTGTAATTAAAATTTTATCACAAGTGCAATTTGCGAATGGCACATCATTTTTTATGTGGCCGCCTGGCTGCTTAATGTTTAGCGCCAAATTGAAATTACAGGAATTGTAAAAAAAAACACACACAGAAATTACTAACAACAGGAAAGTGCAAAAAAATATAAATGAAAGAATGGCTGAATGAGGAGATACTCTAAAATATATATGGAGCTATTATAGTTAAAGGGAAAAAAATAGAAGGTTGTATTTAAGTGGTTAGTTTCATATATCAAGAGCCCTTTTAAAATACAAATATTAAAGATAGGAAAAAATCACATATAGTTCAAAATCATATAAAGTGGTGCTCCACATAAATCACTATGGTTTTGATATCACCTTTAAATAAATTATAAATTGTAGGTGTCTAAAAGTATGCAGTAATAAAAAGAGTAGAAAAGAAAAGCATACTTTTAGGTACTCATATTAGGTGTTTTAAAAGTGATTTTGTTTTTAAGAAAAATTGCATTATTATAGAACCATGTAACTTTTAACATTTTCCCTTGGGCATAGTATCTATTTTATATCTTCTGTGAGCATACCAGTAATACTTTTAAGCATATGTATTTTTACAAGATCTTTCCCATATTTTCCATACAAGATCTGATACTTCTATAGTTCTTCTGGAACCCCAGCTAAAACCCAATTGAGTTAGAGAACTCCTTCGCTAGAGTATCTAAACCGAATGAACGATGGAAATGAAAATGGGTTGAGCCAGTGCCATGAAAGTGGAAAAGCGGGGAAAGTGGGGAAAGTGGTCAGGGGTCTTGCTCACACTTTCGCCGACGTGATTGCCGCCGAAGCAGTAGAGGAATAGCTGCGTGAGGGCCGCGATGATGTAGCAGATGTAGGTTAAGCCGCTCAGCGACGACGTGTTCTGCGGAGACAGAAGATAGAGAACCAGTATAAAAATAAAGGAGTCCAGGGTAAGAGATGTCATTAATTGGAGAGAAATTGCTGGTGCTGAAAAACTGCTGGGGATTATTTAATATACTGTATATATACACACTGTATATTGTGCGAGCGAGTTTCAAGTAGTTGCGAAAATGGAAAACATCAAAGAAATGCACTTTGGCAAATGGTCTTGGGCTACTTGCGGCTGCAGTCTGATTGCTTTTCTTCCCGTTCCCATTTTCCACTTGCCTGACATTTCCATTGTGGCATTGAAAAAAGAATTATACAGCTTATGCATGTCGTCGAGTGCATAAATCTGCGAGAATGCTCGATTTTACAAGTTCCCAATAGGATTTGCCAACAATAAATTGCATTTGTTTTAGCCCTTTTCGAATTTCATTTAACATTTTCTTGGCCTTTCTATTGTGCGCTCATTTGAAGGTCAAAATATTTCAAGTAAAAAGAGTAATAAACAAAGGATTAAATAAAATAATATTCGAATAGGAATAATATTACATACACACACTCAAAAAAAAAATCACCATAAATATTAGAAAATCGCCCGTGATTTCAAAACGCCATTGAATTAAGAAATATTTTCTTGATTATAGAAAAAATGCCTACAATTTAAGGAATTCGCCATAACTTTTTTTTTTTTTGTAATGAAGAAGAGGAAGAATCCCATTTTTTCCTTCAATTAATGGCGAATTTTTCTTGATTTTTTTTCTTGAAATAATGGTAAATTCTTACTTAAATTTAGGAAAGAAATGCCCATATTTTAAGAGAAAGTGACTTTTTTTTATATATTTTAATGGTGGTCTAGCTGGTAAAGACGTCCGGTCAATAAACAATCGAACAAAAGTACCTGGTTCGAGCCCACGCCACGGCAAGTGTACCCTTTGTTTATTTATTTTTCTTTTTTTTTTAATTTATGTAATTTTTATTCTTCTTAGTTTCACTTTTCTATTTACCAAATTGTTTAAACGGTTGTTAAAAAGGTTTAGATTAGAATAAACGTTATTTGTATGCTTAAAGCTGGACCAAAAGCACCTTAGCCCTCTTTAGTCATTGTATGACAAGAAGCACGCGTGGCCGAATGGTTAAGACGTCTGGCTATGGTGTGTGAGCAGTTGCGGGTTCGAGTTCACGCCGGGGTTGTCTGAGGTAAGGATTTTTCCATTTGTTATATTTATTTATATGTTTATAAAAAGTATTTATATAAAATAAATCTTTAATAAATTCAGGTAAATATAAAAATTTTCAGACTGTAGTATTCCCATGTAATAATTGCCATTAAAATTAGAAACGGTTTTATCCATTTAAAATTCAACATTGGTATACAAAACCAACCAAATTCCTCAAATGTAAGGTGTAAAATGTAAAATGATGTAATCTTACATCATAAATATTTTTTTTCTTATTTTAATAAATTTTTCCTTAATTTTAAGGTTTTTTACCATACATTTAAGAAAAATTTGTCATTATTTCCAGAAATGGCAAACCATAAATTCAAGAAAATTATTTATTTAAAATAAAAGTGAGTCGCCGTTTTTTAAAGGCGAATTTCTTGATTTAGGGGCGATTTTGGCATTTTGTTTTTGCAAAGAGTTCTATAAAGCATGCTCGATTTTTTCCCAATAGGATTTGCCAACAATAAATTGCATTTGTTTTAGCTCTTTTGGAGTTTCATTTAAAATTTTTCTTAGCCTTTCTATTGTCCACTCATGTGAAGGTCAAACCTTTCAAATAAAACGAGTAATAAAAAAGGATTGAATAAAATAATATTTAAATAGAAATTTTGTTACCTCTATACTTCTTTACCTAAAAATAAGTACTTTTAATATTTGTCTTAACATTGGGGCTTTAATAGATTTTTTCTTGCTTGTTTGCTTTAATTTCCGTTCTAAAATCGATCAAAAAAAGGTTCTTTTCCCAAACAAGTTCTATAAAAGAACGATAAACTTTTAAAATTTATTTATGTGTTCAAGCTCTTGTCAAAACTCATTTTGGCATGTAGGTTTCCCACGCTCCTCCCCCACAAACAAGGTTAAAAAGTGATAATGGATCGCCGGGCTCAGGATCCCCGAGCGATAAACAAGTTTCGAATGGATTACTCAACACTTTGGGCCGTATAAGAAGCGGCAAAGGGCGAAGAAAGTGCCGGCAGCATTTATCCCATTGGGAGCAAAAGCCAGAAGCCCCTTCCAAACATTTTGCGCCGTTCGCCAGTTGCACCAAACAGCTTATGGGTCTCCGGTGTCCGGGACACCGGAAAACGTGCGAAAGTCGCATTAAAAACTTTTTTCGGGAGCAGTAACAATTCATGCGCTTATAAATTGCCAACGGAGAGCCACAGCCGCAGCCACAAAGCAAACAAACAAATCGGGAAAAGCGAATCAGAACGGAGCGGCTGGAAAAGCCAGGGAAAAACAGCAAACAGGGAAAAACTTTTAAAACAGCCGCCGAATGCAGGCGATGCGAAAAGTCAGGGGTGGATTCAGATAACACTTTAAAAAGGCTTACATTTATCCACTTTGTAGGGATATCAAAAAAATAATGTTCTTACTCTTGTTTAAAGTGTTCTAAGACTAACAAATAGTTAAACACAAAATTAGAAAATTTTGATTCATAGCAATATTATCTTTTAATTAAAAAAGTTATCTACTCCTTCTTTGTTGCGTATAAGGAAATCCTTACATTCCTTACAATATAAAAAAAATAAAAATAATTTAATAACAAAATATTTTTAAGTTTAACATTGTATGCTTAACTTAATTTGTTAAATAAATAAATAAATTTAAAAAATTTAAAGCAATAAGCTTTGATTACATATTTTATAGCATGGTTAATATTTTTGGGTTCCCCTCCATTTAGAAGCAATCCACCCCAGAAAAAGTGACCCGAATACGCCTCTGTAAAAGGGCTTACCAACATGATGTCCAGGATGGTCGAGCAAAGGACGAAAGCAGCGGACAGGAAATGCATTAAAACGATAACGGTGAACTGGCGTGTTAGGTCCGTGCAGAAATCGATAATCGCATTGTGCCGCTCGACAACTTCGGCCAGTTTTTCCCTCACCTCGGCGTTCATGGCCTCCGTGAAAACATCCACAGTGTCTGAAGGAGGGGATAAGCCAAGAAAAGTCATCGAGCGAGTGGGGAAAACCATTGTCATCTTGCAGGATGTATGGTGGGTTGGGGGGGGGGGCATCAACTCACCGCCATGCAAATCGGCAAATATCCTGCGAATGTCCTGCTGCACCAGCCGGAAAACACCGCATATGTAGAGGCAGGAGCACACGAAGAATCCGTCCACGAAGCTGAAGGCGAAAACGGTGCAGGCACCGGAAGCGGTCAGCAGCACGTAGGTGAGCGGAAACAGTCCTGGCTGCACGGCAAACGCAGGCAGTCTGTTCGAAAGGGGAAATATTCGAGGAGGGAGTCGTGATTAACGTACGACGACAGATCTTAAGTGCATCTGCAGGGCCCAATTAAAATCATTACTCAAATTGGTTGAAATGTTTCCCATCTCAAATGATATATTAATGTCGTAATTACGAATGAACTTGGATACTCATTTCATAAAAAGTTTTTTTGGTCAAAGGAAAGATACTTTATAAAATATAAACGACAACGGGTTGTAGTTGATATCACTGGTAAATCATCTCTTGATTGTTTGTTTTCGTAAATCTTCGAAATCTTTGATTTCGAAAAACATTTCTATACACACAAATGCATTTTGGGGGTAAAATTTACCAATACGGATACTTACTTAACTGTAAGGAAAGGTTAAGAAATTATTAAAAAAAAATCACGTGTACTTTATTACTATTGTACTATTTAATAGTAAAACCACCATAAATGTAAGGTAAGATAAGTTATGTATACTTTGCTGTTGGGAGAGTAAGTATTACGTTGCTCACATTGACCATTCCATGGGTTATAAGATTGATTTCACATTTAATTCAACTTATAGACATTAAACAATTATATTCATAAATTAAATATTTTACTTTACACTTAATAGTAAAAAACTATTTTTTTTAATGAAATAAAAACTTAATATTTTAACATATGGTCTCATAAAAGCTTTTATGAACATTTTTTGGCTTAAATTGAAGCAATTAATTATGATAAATTTGTTAGCCAATAAAGTATAATAATAATGGGATGTATTTAGCTAACAACTATAAATAATTTAAATCAGAAAATGAATGACTCACATGATGTTAAAGGGCAGTTCGACTTGACCCGGCAGATCGGATACCCAGCGATAGAGGCCCATAATCAGCGGTTGCAGGTTGAAGGCGGCGTTCGTCGCCGTGCCAGAAGCCAGCAGCAACAGGCTAAGTCTGTTGGCCGTGGTGGCCAGCCCGACCAGCATCCTCTGGCCCTCCTCCCTCCTCGATTGCCACAGCATTAACCTCAAGCGCTCTACCAGCTCTGCCCAACGGCGATTGGAGCGGAAGAAGACCAACAGCTTGAGGACACACACCGCCTTGGTGGTTCCCGGGCAGAAGGCCTCCAAGGCAACCACTAGGTTATCCAGGTGGACGCAGCCGTAGGAAACTTCGCCAATCGCGCCCATCAGGACGACGGCGAAGGCGAAGACGAAGAGGAAGTGGGCGTGCCAGGGACGACCGCTCACGCCCCCTTCTATCCGCCTGATCCTTTGTGGCCAGATGCCCACAAGGCGGCCGGAGAGGCGGGGAATGCGGTAAAAGTGGCCAGCGATGGCAGGCTCCCTGCTGTCAATCATTCCTGCGATGAACTCAAGTGGATACTATCGATGGGTCCTGCCGCAACTTGAGTGGTCAGCTGCTCCGGGCGAGTGTCAGGAGCAATGTTGGCCAACGCTTTTATAGGCACTCAAGGAAACTAATTGCAGGAGGAGAGCTGTAAGGCGTGCACCGCAAAAAATGTATACCAATTTAAAGGATATATTAAACTTAGCTGGGAATTTATTGAAGGTGTCTGAAAGTATGCAACGATATGTTTTTAGTGCGGATTTCCAATGGATTGGTTATGATAGACAAGGTTTTTTTCACACCACATTTTTAGACACATTTCTTTTTTCGTTGCAAACCTACTATTAACTGAAAAAATCATGTTTTTTACTTTCCCCAACAACCATTTTTTAAACCCTACAAATTTATCTGAGTACATGAAATAATTATTCAAAGAAATTCTTGAACTGAGTTTAAATTATGAATTTTATTGTTACCTAGGAATTTTAGTGTGCAGAAATTACTAAAGGTGTCCGAAAGTATGCAACAATATATATTTTGAATCTAGATGCCCGATGTATTCATTAAATTTCTGGGAATTCCTAGATTTTTTGCAAGCCCTAAAAGTACTACAAAATTCTGCAGAGAAACCTTAAAAGGTCAATGCTTTTCCTAAGGACAAGTTTAATACCCCACCAACTCCTCTTGAACCATAGTATGTTATTTTAAAATGTGGAACATTCTTTTTCCCTTAGTGCACTTATTGCCGAGCTGGGCTTTTGGCTTTGGCTAAAGTTTTAATTGTTTTTGTGCTTACGTCTGCGCTTACACTTCCACCCCGTCGCTTCCGCCCATCAGTCAAGGTCCTTCCAACTCACCTGCCCTCGACCATCGCCGAACCGCCCTAATTACACAGGAGTCAGTTACTGTAGGAATATTCCATTCAGTGCAAACAATTACCATTGTTTGACATTCAATATTTTGTGTGTTGCCCAACAAGCGACACAAAGGCAACGAATACAAATTTAATTAATTGTTATGCGGCAAAACTTTCAATTTTCTTCGTCTACCCCCCTAGCCACTTTACTCTCCCTTTGTCTTGCCTTTTTAATTGGGGTTACCTTTCCACTTCCATTCGACTAAAAGTTGTTAATTGAGGGTTCTTGGCCAAAATGAAAAGTAAACGTAGGAGATGGATAGTTTAACTAAAAATGTTTATCAGATCCGAAAATCAATTTACATCGAAGGGAAAAATGGAATTTCCATTTCTATCGAATTTGGCAAGCAATCTATTGCTTTTAGTTGAATTTAGAAGGCAATCTTTTTCGTAGGCTCAATAATCCGGCTGGGAAAGTTTCCATTTGCATGGCCAAGTGAGTGCCATACAGTCAGTGCCAATGGTTAACAGACAGCTCTGGCCAAACCCATTTAAGACCAACACACACACAGCTGGTCATTTGATAGATGGGCAATAATTGCATTTTATTTGGGGGCCTCAACGAATATTATTTGACTGACGCAGTGGCCGGCAATGCAGTTGAGCCATTTCATTGAGGTCGTCCCATTAACTTGCAGCCATCGTTACGGATTTGACTTGCATAATGTTTGGAGTCCCCAATCCCATTTTCAATTCCAGTACCATCCATCAGTTGCGGGGCAAACACGAAGCTCTGGTTTTAGCCAAATCCGGAGCTAATCCTGTTACAGCAACAGTATCAACGCCTATCATCGATGGCCACGCCCACACACATACACTCACAAACTGAGCCCCCTTTGGTGCAGTTTATTTTGCCAGTCTGTGTGACATATATCAACATGGAGCTGCTATAGCCAAAGCTCTATATTGCTCCACCTGCATCAGCATATTCAATAAGCGGTACGGCCCACACGGCGTATGCGCCACTTGGTGCCGCATAAGCGCACGTCAAGTGTTTGCCTGAGGCCACCTTCTCCGTCCCTTTATCTATATCCCCATATCCTCCTGTCCGTTCTGCCCATCTGTACATCCCCCCAGTACTTCCCGTGGAGCATCCTTTCAGCCCCCTAGCAGTGCGATTTGCATTCAAGTGACCATAAAGCACTGTCTCGATGTTCAGGTCATATCTGCTAATGCACTAAGAGAATTTCGTTTAACTTAATAATGATGTAATAGACTTGCTTTTAGGAAGTTTCTAAGGATAAATATATTTTATAAAAAGAAAGTAAAATTTGTTTTCTATATTTCGAAATTTATCTATGACTTAAAAGACCTTTTTATAACCATTTCTGAGATAGTTTTAAAACAGTTGAAGAGTAATTTTATGGTTTAAGATGATTAGAGCCATCTTAAGGCTCAGTATTTTAAACTATCATAATATTATAGACTTTCTGTGGAGATATAAAGACAAAGAGATAAAATAATTGGTTTAAATTTAGAATTGTAACTTGCTGTGAAAGACTTACATTTTGTTTTAATTTTGAAATGTAGAGTGCCTCGAAATACCCTTCTTAACAATTTTTCAGCTAATTTTTGTTCTTCTAATCTAATTCTCTGAAGTTGAAAATAATTTTTTAACACAATTTTGTTCTTTATTTCTTTAATAAGTAAAACAGTGCTGTTAAATAATTGCTTGTATTATAATTTTAAGGGTATTTTACATTATGACTACCTACTTTTTCTAAGTGATCGGTTACTCCCCCAACTTGTTCCGCCCACTCTGGCGATTATGTAATATGCAAATTGAAAGATTAAGCGGTAGGCATAAAGATGGAGCAGCGAAGAGGGAAAACCCTCTAGCTAGCAGTGGTGCTCCTTTGAAGGATATCCCCCACCCAATCGCTCGGGGAGAGACTTAACAAATTGATTTGCGTACCTGGGCTTCATTGGGCTCATGCCCTCCCATGCCGAAAAATCCCTACTAGTCGAGGGCTCATCACTTAGCGGAACTGACGTAGGAAAAGGGGGTTTTGGGGGTTTCGGGGGGGTCAGGGCGCCCCTTGGTCTGCCCCTTCAGTGTTTTCGGGGCCTTGTTGTCCGGTCCCTTGTTGGCTGTCACTCCGGCCGAGCTTGCCCTTTTATTAGCCGAGCGTATAGAAATGGGAGCTTCATTTATTTCCACGACGAGTACACCAATTTTCCATTAAAATTTCACCCCGAGCAGTGCTTGCGTGTGAGTGTGTGTTTGTGTTCCTCAGTGACAATTGCATTTGCGCATTTCCATTTCCGTTTCCGTTCTGTTCCGTCGTCATGCGGCCGGCGTTTTCTTTCGCTAGCTGCTTTTGGCAGCCACGGAAAACGGCCTTGGCCACAAACACCCACTTTTCAGCCCACTCGCCCACCCCCTTGGTTGCCATAAATTGCCAGCTGCATCCATTCATATCCTGGGCTGCATCTTGGCTTGCCATGCATCATCGTCAGCGGCATCATCGCCGCCTTGAATTATGCGCCAATAAATTTGTTTGTTGAAAATTCTACCTAAATCGGATTTCCCCCCTCATCCGCAAGCATTCAAAAATATATATGTATATATTTAATTATATATTTGGTGTGATTATTGGCAAAATTTATACTCGTATTTTCAGCAAATACTCTCCCGTTTTCCTGTGCTTTCGAATGCAAACATTAAATTAGCAAACAGGATTCAATGGCCGGGCAACAGTGCGTATGATTAACACTAAATGCGTTCCCTGTCAAAGTGCATAATTTCAATTGGCATTGCAATTGCAGCCAAATGGAAAGAATGGGGGGGGGGTGTGGTGTGTGTGTGTGTGTTTACGGCCCGTCACATAATTTTGCTTATTTTGGCAATTAGCTGGAAAATTGATGCTTGAAAATCAGAGTTCATTTGATGGCGAGGGCGGTTTAAACAATCAAAATTGTGAAACAAACCAGGTAAAATATTCAAAGAGAATGTTTAATTGTTTTTAGATAAATTGGGTGTGTAAAATAGTATTAATATAAATAAATTATTTTTATAATAACTAATAAATATGGAAACTGTTAATTCAGAATGCCATCAAACCCATTTAAGGAGCAAGGGGGAAATGAAAGATATGCCAAAAAAAAAGTTATGCTACCTGCACTAAAAAACCAACTTAAATTTTTTAAAGATCTTTAATAATCTATTAAAATTACCGCTACACCATATTTCCCTGCTTTAAATAACCTTATACTTTCCAATCATTTTTGCATATCAATCATCCTTTTTATCGTCCCATAAACAAATAGCTGTAAACGCGGCAGATTTTATGCGCTTGTCACATGATAAACTGCGCTAAAATTATGTTTATTAAACATTGAAAAATGCATCGCAAATCTTCTATGCATAAGTGACACTTTACTCCCCGTCGGGAGGTTTTTATGGGGCCACGTAACTCACGAGGGCAACTTTGGGGGTGAAAACTACTAAAGCAACCCACGTGAAAGTTATAACTTGGCATTAAATGGGCAAAACCAAGCGTGGATATCGTGGATACACGGTTCTCTAACACACACACCCATACACACTCGCATCTGTGGCAATAAAATGCAGTTGGCTGCCACAGGAGGCGGCTGCGGCCGGTGGGCGTGGCAGGCGGGACCCGTGAAGATGCTCCTCCAGCCTCCAGATGGAACAGACACAATGCGACGGGGCAAATGTGTTGCGCATTTCGGTGGCAAGAGTTTCACAAATGTGTGAAAATTGTACAACACAAACAAGCGGAAAGGAAACAGGACCCCGGAGTCCTGGAGCACGGAGCCAGCAAGATCCGGAGCTGGTGGCGAAACTTGCAGGACGAGTGTAAAATGCAATTGAAAAATGCCACAGTTTTGCATAAATCAGCAGGAAAGCGCCGAAAATGGGTGCACAAACAAGCAGCAACAACACGGCCGGATCCGGCTCAGCAACAATAACAATGGGTGAATGGGGCACGAAGCGGGATGCGGGTTGCAGGACGCAGGAGGAGGAGCAGAGCCGGAGAAGAAGCAGGAGCAGCACGAGCAGGAGCTGGCAAACATGGCCGCAGGCAACCCGTAAACATGGCCAACATGTCGGCGCTGGGAAAAGTCGGCAAATGGGGGGCACGGACCGCCGCAGATATAATTTACTGATAATGCAATTGCCGTTCGAGCAAACGCACGCGCCACCTGCTGCGGCATCGTCCTGCCAATCCTGCTCCCCCTCCCATCCCATTTCGTCCTTGTTGCATGCCCGACTAAGCAAGCGAGTTCCTAGAGCCAAAAACCGCTGAAATGTGCAAAAAAAATTGAGCAATAACAATTATGCTAGCCACAACGAAGCTTTAATGCACTGCCATTGCAGTCTAACAGTCACTTAAATAATACTTGGACTTACAAATATTTAGGAAAAAGGTTTTTATTAATATTAATTCAAGTAAAACATTCTGGGTATTTAGATAAATTTAAAACCTAATATATATACCTAAAGATATTTTTAATTAATTATATTATTACTATTACTATTAATTATAAATTATTTTAATACATTTTTAAGATTTTTTAGAGAGTGAATAAATACAAAATAATCGAATTTCGGAAGCTCTGTTAAAGGTGTCTAAAAGTAGGCAATAAAAAAGAATAGCATACTTTTCGGCACCTTTATAACAGCGCTCGGCACGCAATACAATGATATTTTCACTTTCATTTGTGTAAGTAATTGTTAGTGGGATCTTATCGTTGTGGGTCAGCCGACCCCTGTTCTACACTGTTTGTGTAGCGGCAGAGAATCAGCAAAAATATTTCCTATGCCCGCTTAATGGGAAGCTACATACCTACCGCTGCTTTATAATCATTTTTTGATCAAAGTTAGCTTTTTCTTGACTTAAACCTCACTTAAAATTATAAAATAGAAATTTCATATAATGTTGCAAGAAAAATTCTGAATTCGGCTATAACTTGGTATCACTTTCATGCGAATGGCTGACAAAATGTAATAATCACAATTGGGTTTATAATGGGCTATTTGCCCCGTGCAGCTGGGCTCATTACGGCAATGCCCCTTCGAAGGATATGGCCAGAGGGTTGCTCCTGCCGAGCGGAAGAGCAACTGTCAAATATAGCGAACGCTGCACAAACTGCATAAATATTGCAATCGCATGACTCGACATCGGCTGGTTCGGTGGACGCGGACTTGGTCACGCTGCAGTTGACATTTTTTCCTTTTCCTAGCGAAAAGCGGCAGCTAAAACCGTAGGACACATAGAAAACAGTTCAACCGGCTAGTCATCATCCGGTGGCTTCCACCGCTCCGCATACAAATTTTATTTGCTTCCGCTGGCCGATTTTCAATTTAAAGCGGCCTCACTTCGACTTAAAGCGCCGGGGGAATCCCCGCGAATGGTCCAAAGTCCGAAATTAAAAAACTACAACACTCGTTACTTTCTTCCATTAGTGCCAGGACCAAAAAAAACAGCAAAGGATAGCGAAGAAATAGTGCCTTTTGATTTTCGGCAATTCTTCTTTCGCACAGCGAAATTGGCACGAGCGTTTTCCTTTAGATTGTCGAGTGAATTTTCCCTTTGTTTGCTTGACAATCGAACGAGTTCGAAAGTTTCCGTATTAAGACGGGGAAAGTACAGTGATAGATGGCTAATTACAACATAAAGATTGTTATATATTTTGGAATCAGTTTTCGGCATAAAAAGAAGACATTGGAGAAAACATATACAATGTTACATTTTATTTCATTACTCCCATTTTCCTTGTTTGTGATACAAAAAAGTTGAGAGAAAGGATAACAGCCAACTTCTTTCGTTCATACAACTACCTTGAATAAAATCCAATTTGCTTAAGTAGGACGTACAGGCATTATAAATATAAATACCTTGAAACGAGCTACCATTCTGGGTAGCATCCACTGTCTGAACGGCATGACACTTTCCATTTGCTTGAAGTTCCCTGCTCGGCTAATTAACTCAATTGCAGCTTTTCCGGGCTCTGCAATTCTTCATTAGCTCGAAGTCAAAGTTTACGATATGCGATTATTTCACTCCAGTGATGCTGTGATGCGGCTTCTGTCAGTTCTGGATAAGGATGGTAGATGTGGATGCTGTTCTTTTGTGAGTAAGTGAGTGAGTGGCTGGCAAGGTGAGTGTTTGTTTTATGAAGGAAAATAATGTACAAGACAGCACAATATACCACCCACCCATCTGCCATTTGCCAAACTACCTTCAACCACAGACCGTAATTGTTTTGGCCCGACTTTCGGCAAGTTTTAAAGGTGGTCTCTGTAGGTATTTTTGTCTGCGGAGTTGGGTGCAGGAGTACAAGTTATGACACACGACGCTGTGCAGCAGATAACTATTTCCGAGCTGGGCCTGAACTAACTACTATATGGCTTAATCTTGGCATTTGGACCACATTTTCCTTGGCATCGGGCTTATCCTTACACATTTTGTGCACTCTAGGTGTGGTGTATGTGTACTTTTTGCCTCAGCTCCTTCGTGTTGTTATTGTTTAATTTGCGCAAAATTCAGCTTGTTGTGTGTTGTTTTTGGCTGGGGAATTTGCATTCGAAATTTTGGCATTGTTTGCTCTAGGAATTCGCATTTCCATTACACTAATTCATGTATTTTATTACACTTGCCTGCTCTCGCACTCGGCAGCAGTGGGCCGTTTTGGATTTCCAGATTTGCAAGCGGGCTTTAAACATTTTGATGCAGAGAAATAATTTATGCAGTTCACTGTTTAATTGCACAGCTCCGTTTGCGGGTGCGGTGCGGTTATAGTTTCAAAGTTTTGCCGGGGACTGACGCTGCCTTGCATCTCTTCCAGTTGAGTAATAAGATTATTAGTTCCACTCTGGGGCACAAACACAAACGCATTATAAATCTAACCGGAGCAAATGCATATATAGCTGGCCAACCCACCCGTCGACGCCCCCTCGTTAGGGGACGTCCTTGCTGCAGGACCTCTAAATTAATGCCAATCCACAAGTCTTCCACAACCGAGCAAGAGTGAAACACAACCCTCTGCCTAGCAGTTACACTTTTGCTTTCTTTTCAATAAAACTTGTCCAATATCGTGTTATATACATATACCTCCTTAATAAGTCTGATACATTTATTTTAAAATCTCAAAATTAAAGTGATTTTTTCTGTTTCTTTAACAGTCTCTATACAATATATGTTATTGTAATTAATAAATGAAATATTTGAAATTAAGGTATTTTACAGGTTTCGCTTTATGTGAATTTTACATTAAACCAAAAATAAAAAAAGTAATTCATACAGCCAACAAAAATATAAGGAAAGAAATGCACACAGCACGTAATAAACCGATAATAAAGCTTTTGAAAATGTAATTATTCATGTATTCAAAGTTAAGCAGCTTAACTTTTCAGCTATTTCCTTTCAGTAAGTGTAGCCAAGCTGCCGATGACTCATTTAAATGTCAATTACACGAACTTAAATCCAGGCCAGGACATTGCCGAGACTTCCAGTTGATAAATTCAATTAAATAAATCTGTGAAATTCAGGAAGAAATTACTAAGCCAGCAGCGTCGTTGGTGGGTTCGGTGTGCAGCTTACGTAACACGCAAATATTTGCTTAAATTAACTGGAACCTTAAGAGATTTAATGAGGAAAATAACTTAATTCGCCTGAAGGTTTCCTTGGGGCGGCTATATTTTTATCTGCAGAAGATTTAAGTAGTTATCTTCATACAGACACTGCAGCTGCTCCATACGCTCATGAATCTCCTCTATTGTGGGATTTAGAGCTAAATGTAATTGAGTTAGACAACTGATATGCCTATTTCTAAAAATCAGTGAGTCTGCCAAATCTTGTATTTGTTCATTAAAGGCTTCAATGCTTTCCTTATTTCCCTTTTGGCAGCGTTTTAATTTTAACTTGGCGAGGTTTACAAGCTCGGAAAACTCTTGAAGACGGAGACGATGCAGCTGAAGCTTATGCAGGTTTTCCTCCTGAGCATCCAATAGTCTGGCAAAGTCTCGATTCCCAACCCGATCCATTACTCTATCCATATCATTGGTGGATATGGTGTTTTCTTGACAGCTGTTTAACTCCTCTCTCTCTATTTTAAGATTATTCAACTTTTGTTCCAGACTTAATATATCATTAGTGGTATTATATGCTACTGAAGCTGGTTCCACCTTTGGTTTCCTGAGTTCCTTGGCTTCTTCCCTGTGATTAGGTATTGCCTTTTCCTGTGAAACAATGGGAAACATACACATCCCCTCGCCCTTTCGATTTTCCACGATATCTAACAAAAAGTTGAGTATTTCCAGCACATGGCCCATGGCTTCCGGCGTATTGGGAGTTCGCAACCAGCTTCTGTTCACCTTTTTAGAGTACTGGAGCTGCTGCAGTGCCTCCATCGTCTGCTCCATAAAGCAATCCTTGCTAAGATGCGAAAATTGCACCCCATAAAAGGGTAGAAGGCGCACTAGTTGTTTCAAAAAATCCGAGATAAACTGACGTAACTGGTACTCTGACTTTTTCTGCCATTCCTTTGCCATCTTATCCAGCTTTAGCCGCAGCGAATCCTTTCCCAGTTCAGTGTGGAAATCCAACTTTCTCTTTGAGTTGGTCAGCTTGGTTGCTTTGCTGGATGTATGAAGGCTCTTGGGATCCTTGGGGTACGAGAATCCAATTTGGGGCACCAACAGCTTGCTCGATGAAAAGCTGGTCGTTGGCGGCTTTGTTCTTGGGCGGTCAATCGATGCTAATACTAAGCGATTGTTTATTGCCTCTTGGCGCTCCCGCTCGAGGATCACTTTCGGGCGGATGGGCTGTGGTTCCGATGAAGGTATGAGTGTGCAGCTGGTTGAATGTGAGAGAAACTTTATATATTTGAATACAGGTTTTATTCTCCATGATGAGCATTAGAAAGTTTTAAAATTTACTTTTATTTTTATAGTCGTAGTTATAACTCGACTGAGCTTGAAACTTTTTAATGGTATCTTTAAATAATGTAAATCAATTACTAAGTGTATTATAGGTAACACCGATATCTTAACCAACAAGACTTTCTAATGCGATTTTTCTTTAAAAATAGCCTTTACACACCGCTTTTCTCGAGGTTTTAGAAGATCTGGGTTTTTCAGATTGCTTTGGGAAGTTCCCTTGGTGGCAGAAGTTACTTTATGTAGAGACTTCAGATCCCCCAGAAGTTCCTTAGAGCGTAAAGGACGAGGTTCCGAGAATGTTATAGCTTTCTTTGACCACCTATTTAATGGTTCAACAAAATTAGTTTCTTTCGAGCTGTACCATTAAAATATCACATCAACGTACCTAAATTCTACGTTTTTTGGCCTTTCCAAGACTCGTTGCCTGTTTTGGTTTGATAAAAATGCATTTTTTGATGGTATCCTGGAGGCAGAGGATGATCGGTTAATGGACCTCTCCAGGCGCTGTAGCAATTGGTTCGGGCGCTCCAAGCCCGTATCCCCATCGGTAATGAATATAGAGGGTATGCTGCCATTTTGCGATGTTGAGGGTTTAGTTCTTTGGCCGTATTGTGGGGTTAAGTATCCTTTCTTGGGCGTACACCTACTAGATCTGTGCCTTTCCAGTAATTCTTTGGAGCGCAAAGGCGTACAGAAGCCGGGTATACTAATCCAAAAATAACCAAATTAGCTGTATGTATCTACTCTGTTCTGTCCCATAGCTCACCGCATGTCCGGCGATTTGGCCATGCTATTCATTTCCAAGTTTTATTTTATAATGATTTGCTTGTTGATACTTAAATTTGCAATTTTAAAATTGAAACAACAACACAGCCAGCAAAATGACAACAAATGCGCAGATGTGAATGACATAACAAAGTGTGGCAACGCTGGGTCTGATAAATACAGATGGCAACACTTGACGATCAAAAAAGTTGGCAACGCTGAAAAGATCGTTTATTTTGAATGATGAATTTAAACGAAATCGTTTTAAAACATTTTTTTCCATCCACAGAATAAGGTTAGGTCAAATCGAATCATACTCATCCATCAACGAGCTTAAAATAAGTGGCACTCTCCAGCAATTATATCCAGCACACCCCTGGTTCTTTATTAACTTTAAAAACTGCACCCATTGGCAAGGCAACATGGGCCGCACATACATAAATCATGGATGAAAGTGAAAATTGGTAGCACCTACGAGCTCGGGATCCCAGGTGGCCTCCGGAAGGTGGCGCCTCCGCCGACCCGTGACCCCGCCCATTTGTGGCGTAATTACGAAACAATACACGCGTCGGAACTGAAGCCAACAGGAACAGAGAGAGCCAGAAGCTTGGAGGTAGCCCCAATCCCCAAACAGCGTGAAGGTGTTATTTGCGAGGCTCCAATAAACACTTTAAAAATGTATGGATGAAATAAAGGAATTTCCATTTTTCGAAAATAAAACTGTTATTTATAAGTGTACTTGGATTGGAAATAACAAACTATACGTTTTTATATACTTTTAAGAAATAATTGTGATTAGTTTGAACGTTGAAAATATATCCAGCAATAAACAAAAATATATTTACCTTTAAACCATTTCTTAAGTATCTTAGATTAAGTGGTATATTCTGTTAAAAATAAAAATTTACTGATCCTTTTATATCAAAACCCATATATCATCAGAGAGGGGTTACTATAAAAAAACGTCCCAGTGTACCTTACCTTATCCTGTACCCTGTATAGTTTTCATGTTTTGACTGCTGCGTTTTTGCAATTTAACCGCAATAAATAATGGAGCAGCTTGTTAAATTTGAGCGCACACCCACCAGGAAGCGCTGGAAAAATGTAGGTTAGACACCGGAGGATAACGATGATGATGATGTTATCAGTGGCCCATTGTGGATATTCGGTGGACGCTTCGCTGGCTGACCAAAACGAGACTCGACTGGTGTGGAAATGCGATTTTTACATATTTGATATACATTTTAATTGCGGGGCATTAAAATGCTAGCGCTGCCCAAAAATGCGCTTAAAATAATTAAATTTATTGCCGCATCACCGATTTGGCAGCTGACTAAGCGAAAACTAACCGCAGTGTCGACACATCCGAAATGCCCTCAAGGATTTTTGGGGCATGATGAATAATTACTCAGCTGTGTATCACTAAATAATTTTGCATTTATTTTATATAATACAGTACACATTGCATTAAACTAAATAAAATCTATTTAATATATAATATATATTTAATATGTAATCGTACACAATCAACCCTATATACGTCGCTCCTCCTTATTCTCCGATTTGTCTTAGTCTGCACATTTATATAGCGTAATTAATATATGTATCGCTGCCGTCGATCTCTCACTTTATAGTTTTGTTAACAACAATTATTGCTATTTGAATTTATTATTGGTTTAAGTGTATTCTCTTGTTTGTATGTTAAAACCCTAACGTATTTTGTTTGCTTTGCGGTGTTTCAAGTTCTCACGATATCTCCTGTGTGGATGTGTTCGTTAGTGTGGATATACATATTTAAAATATAGTTTCTATTTAGATTTGTGTGTATACTTGATAAACAATCGAACAGTTAAAAACAGTTTGCCAGTAAACCAAACTCAGTTCGTTAACAATTAGAATTTGGTTGAGTAAACTATTTACAAGTGGAGCGTATCAATACAAATATAAATTCACCAATAGTGGTTAAAAACATGCAAGCCGGGGCTCGTTGTACAATTGAACTAGAAGCAATCAGAGTGCAATCTTATGGCGAAAACGTAACATTTAGTTGCGATTGCTGAGCAGCTTGTTGTGAGCCAAAACGAAGGTATGCCTAGGAAATTGTATTTGCATACCTTGAACAAAAATTGGGAATTGTGGTATCATCAAGGCTTAGCTGAACTTGAAGGTGGTTTTATTTATCGGCGTAAAAAATACAGACGGAAAAAATATATCGACAATTACAATTGCAGATAGAGAGGTAAAAGAGGATTAACAGAAACGAATTGTTGAAAATATGTTTGAAATTTACAAAGAGGAATAATGAATTTATGTCTAACCAATTATAAATAACTCTAAAATAGGCTCTCAATACATTCATACATATATCGTTTACAAATTTCGCACTCAAAACAAATCTTTCATTTGATATTGGTGGCGAACATAGGAATAGACAGACAAAAGTGTGTGTTTTGTGTTTACAGTATACAGTAGTAATACATACGTATGTAATAATAATAACAGTAACTATTTAACGCAACGTGGTCGTCGAATGGAAAGGGGTAGTGGGCACTGGGGAGGGGAATGTGGATAAGGAGGCGGAGGTGGGGACGGGGACGGGGATGGTAACGCAGGCGCTCAACTGGAATTAAACATTAATCAACAAACCGACCACAAATCGACTGCCACTCATTCTTGGCAGAAGCCCTCAGTCTCCTCGATGGCAAAGGTCAGCTTTTCCACCAGCTGATCGTAGCTCTTGTACGGCGGCAGGTCCAATCGATTGAAGCAGGTGTGCGAGCGCGGCAGCCACGTCTCCTTGCCCACCTTCTCGATACAGAAGCGCTGTGGCCCATTGGAGCCCATCAGCTCGGCGAATCCTCCGACTGGCACTCGGCATGTGCCCGTCACAAACTGCAGCAGGCGTGCCCGTTTCTCGTTATCCGTCTCGCGAACAAACTGCAAAAGCAATTACCCGGATTAGTGGCCATTTGGCACTTAGTTTGTAAGGTCACCCACCTGCCAGAACCAGACGACCTGCTTGGAGTTGCGGTTGTAGTGCCTGTAAATAGTGTTGCGCTGCCAGTCCTCCACGTCCACGTCCTGCATGCCGCACAGGATCAGCTCTAGTTCGCGCTCATCGAAGTACTTGAGCCACTCCAGAGGCACCACCTCATTGAAGCCCTCCAGGAACGTCTTCGTCTGCTGCTCAATGCCACTATAAAGATAAATAGTGAAACCATGTAGTAACAAGCCACCAATCAAAAATCTCATCTTTTGAGTTACTTTGACAATGTATCACTTATTTACTATTAAGCTTACCGCGTCATCCGCCACTCTGTCATCAGCGTGATGTACTCCTCCTTGTTCTCCTCATTCACTCGCTCCTTCTCGCCGTTTTCCTTCAACTCGTGATGGATTATCTGGCCGAGGACTTCGAAGTCCACGCTGAACCACAGCTCCAAGCCGCACTCATCGATGTTATTATCCTTTACCCAGATAAGAGAGTTGTAGAACTCCGGATCGATCGTCTCGATGTCCTTGATGGTCAACTTCTTGTTCAGCATGCGCTTGTAGAACGGCATTGTGAATCCACTGTAGATAAATCGTCCGTGATACAAGGCCATCGCAATGAAGCGACCAATGAACTTGAAGTACTGCAGGTGATCGGGATTGACGTACGAGGCGGGATTTATCTGCAGGCTGTAGTTGTTCTTGTTTGCGTACTCGAACAAACAGTACATGGGATTCAGGACCTCGTGGGAGAGCAGGAAGAACCACTCGCGGGATACACCGCCATAATCCAGTCCCTCCTCGCCACGGAATATTATATAGAGCCTCCTCCGCAATTCGTAGGCGGGCAGGCGCATGATCTGGTGGTAGGAATCTTCGAACAAGGTTTGTCTCGTCACCGTTATCTTGATGTGCGATGGCAGAGCGTTGCTCTGGCACAAGTACCGGAACTGCGAGAGTTTCCAGCGGAAACTGCGTTCGTAGGCGCGTGGAACTCCGTACACTCCCTTGGCGCCCTTGGGTGCTCCTGGTCGCGGATCCTCAAAGGTGGTTCGACGCGTATTGTGGTCCACAAAGAAGCGCTCGCCGGCTGCTGTGTAGCGAATTTCCCAACCGGGTGGTAGCGGGCCCTCGTTGATTAGGCTCACTTCCTGCCCTTGAGTACGTGGATCCTCCCACTGGGTGGTTCGGTTTTTGTGGTTAACAAAGTACACTCGGTTGTCCGATTGGATCTGTTAAAGGGAAAGAATAATTTAAATTAACTATATATTAACAAGCAAGCAAACGGTTTTACCTTCTTTTCCCATCCATCTGGCAGCGCTCCCAGTGCATCCTCGTCGTCTTGCGTCACCTGGGCGGTCACCGCCGTTGGCTGCTGTTGTTGCTGGGAGTACAGGTATCGCTGGTTGCCCTGGGAAACAACGTGCGCCCTCTGACCCTGCCAGTGCTGGAAGTGCATCAAGCGCTCGCTATTGGGTCTCTGCCAGGTGGTCTTCCTTGTGTTGTGATCCACGTAGTAAACTCGACCGCGTCCATCTTTCCTGATCTCCCAACCCGGCGGCAGTGGCGTCGGTTTCTCCCAGTAAGTAGATCGTGTGTTGTGATCCACATAGTATCTCCGCCCATACTGATCCAGGCGGATCTCCCAGCCAGCCGGCAGGGGTTCATCATCAGCCGGTTGTGTTTGCAGTTGCGGATCTGTGCTCTGGCTCACGGGCAGTCCAACTCCGGACTGCTCCATGGGTGGGCCTGAAACTCCAGTTGCTGCGACTGCCGCTCCTCCTCCTGCCGGCAAATAAACACCAGATGGCGGAGTGTTCTCTGGCAGCGCTCCGTACACTTGGGTCAGAGGACGTGCAAGTGCGGGAGCTGGAGGCTGCTGGGGATACGGTGCTGTTTGCGGCACAGCCGCCCCACTGCCATTGACCATTCTCAGGGGTTGCGGTTGATTCGGCGATTGTTGCTGCTGTTCCCACACGGGCGGAGCTGGCGCAGATCTTCTGTGATCCGCCCCTCCGTTCGGCAAGGGAGAGCGGCTTTCTCCACCATTGCTGTTGCCGCTTGCCGAGCGAAGTCGCATCCGCGCTCGCACGCCACCGTAAATCGTGCAACTGTGTCCTGCGGCCGCTTCACTGACCACCGACGGATTAACAGCCTGGACGGGTGG